CCTAAGCTATGTCACTCGTAAGTAATGATTAGCCTGAACTCCAAGTATATAATGAATGTTCACCTATGGCATGCTGTATACACACAGGTATGCTACATGTCTTTGCGGGCGGAGCTGCTCTGCTTTCGAGGGTTTGGCTCGTCGAAATCGGTACTCATATACTCCGTATGGCGTGCGTTTGCGTGTCGGACGATAATCGCACGATGAGAAACGACCCGATACGTTTTTTTTTACATTATTTCTTCTTTTTTTTTCGCTCCAGCTCTCGCTGCTGCTGTCCATCCTACGAGTACACACAGACACACAGTAGGCAGATGGGTCCCAACTGTCACGCGTAAGCCGCCTCTATCCACATAGATAGAGATAATCACCTCGGCAAAGCTTTTACTTTTTCATCATCCCCCTCCGCGCGCGAGAAATGGCGGCACCCCCCGTGCGTGAAAAGCTAGATGTTGTTGTACTATAGCGTAATACGTCACACGCTGAGACGCCACCACCACCGTCGTCGTCACCGATAGTGCGACGAGCGGAGCTTTTCAGGAAGGAAGTGTGGATTTGCGCGCCGCCGATCAATAGCTTCCTGCCGCGCGCTCATAACACAAACGGTGTCGCTTTGATTCGTCCTTTTAAAAGACTTTGCGGTGTGACACGTACTCGCACGCTATATAATAATACGGTTTATATTGTCGTCGTTGTCGTCGTCGTCGATGCAAGAGAAAGAGCGAAGAGAGCGAAGAGAGATTCTTGCATGTGTGCCGACGCCGCCGCCGCTGCCGCCACCACCGCCTCGATCATCGGCTGCGAGCGTTATAAAGCATTGCGTTTGGCTACTGCATGTGCTCGAGCGAGCTGCGTGAGGCTTATATGCGGAATAGCCAAAGAGTGAATAACAAAAAGCGAGAGAGAGAGAGAGAGAGAGAGGCGCGATTTTTCTTTTATTCCGTGGTCAGCTCTCAGTCTCAAGAGGCACACACACACTGAGCAAGTCGTCCTCGTTCGTCCTCTGAATAATGGGAAAATAATGGAGAGCAGTAGATTGCGGCGTGGAATCTGAAAAATGCCATTATCGCGCGCGCGCCCGTTCACTGTTTGTTGGACCATCTCTTTTGCTCCTTCGGCGCTCGCTCGCACACTCCCTTTCGCGTATATATATCTACGTATACACTCACACACACACACACACACACAGCCAAGAGGCCACAGCTTCTATTGTTAAGCCGTTCTCCGATTTGCCTAATTACCGTAATTGGCCGAGCCGTCGCCGCCGCCCTATCCTCGCGCGCCTCAGGACGACGACGACGACGACATATTATATATACTCGCCCGTGAGATCTTCCTTTTACTTTGAGGCTTCTTCCTCGCGAGAGAGTCCTTTACTTTTAAAACCGGGGCGTACTTTCAATAAAATTGCCATTAGCAGCCGCATCGGGCAGATGCCGATTTTCAATGCACAAGTTAAGCGTTTAGCGCCTCGCCGAGCTGCTGCGGCGGCGGCGGCTTCGAGAGAGGAGCTCTCCGAGTTTATATTCATTCTCACGGTGCCGCTGAATTGTGGCCTTTTTTGTTTTAATTTATCATTTCTCAATTTTAGAAAGATTCATCGTTATGGTTGAATCATAATGAGAAAGAAAGACAGAAGCTCGATGTACTGTAATTTTTCACTTTGCGCGCTTTTTATTGAAATATCTCTGAAGAGGCCTTTCTTAATTAGAATTTTCTCCCGCGAGTGCTTGGGCTATAAATGTAAATCAAGCATCATCAATAACTTTTTCATTTTTATTGTACTTTTTTAACGCGTAATCTAGCGCCTCTATCGTTTCTCGCTCTCTTCTCGCACACAAGTGCCGAACCCGCGGCTCGCGAAGGTGTTTTGGTACGTTACACCGCACACTCTCGACACGTGAAAGATCAATTTGGAGAGAAGAAACAGCCTCGCCGCGAGTGCTGCTCTATTGTATTTGTACTCGAAACGTCAGATAGCATCGGCGACGAGGTTTCGTTTCTTCATTAAAACACCGTATAATGTACAGGAGTTTAGTTAGTCCGTGGCGTTAAAAGTACCCGCAAAGACGTAACGTAACACACACATATACGCACTCTTTTATGTATTGCAAAATTTGAGACTTGAAACAAAAAACACAAAAAAAATCAAGGATCGTAGAGCGTGCAGCAGTAAAGGTCTTCCGTGAAATACACATTGGCGACTGTGCAAACAGCAGCAGCAGCAGCAGTGCAAAGTACCTAATAGCTCGTCTCGCTCTCGAGCGTCGCACGCGCGCGCGTGTCCTTTTTTTAATACATAAAATATAGGATATTTATTTTTGCATACACACGCGTATGTATACCTTTAACGAGCAATTACCGCATTATTATCATTATTATTGCGCGAGAGTGGAGTTTCTCGAGTTATGTATTATGCGGACAACAATATTGACTCTGGGCGCGAACGAATTAATTTCGCCTTCTCTCGCTTAAATACGCTGTTTAAGCTGTGCAAACAAGGCACGCGCGCGCGCGGTCGGACGAAGAAGCAGAGGACAAAAAAAAGGAGCCTCGCGCGCGCGCGTTTGTGCGAAACCGCCACTGCTTCTATGAATTGTCGTCGTCGTTCTCCTTCTCCTCTCGCCATTCGAGGCCTGATTACACACATATGTGCGTGCCCTTATATTATGTACGCGTGATAAACAAATTTTTGCTTTTGCCGCTCGGCAGTGGCCACCCTGTCAGTGGCGACGACGGCGGCGCGACACTCGGGATAAAAGTCAATCATCGAGTCTCGATTTCATCCTCCTTGCATATTATACGCGAGTTGCAACGCGCGGCACGAGCGACGCGATCAAAGTGTACGCGCGCAAAATCGATCGCCGCGCGCAGCTCCTCGGTCTGCGTCCGAGAGTATTTGGTCACTCCGCAGCAGTGTCAGCGCGAAATTAGTTCTTTTTTCTCGTACACGCTGTACTCTGTGTTCAGTGTATATACATCGATGTACAAATAGTCGTCGGCGTTGTTCGTAGAAACGTTGTTCTCGCTCCTTGTTGTCACGCTCTCTCGCGCGGCTCCTCTCTTTAGTCCCTCATTAAACGACGCGACTTGTTATACACATCGCGAAAGAGGAGCAGCAGTAGCAGAAGCAAACTCCGCTGCTGCTGCTGCGATTTCAACTGCGCGGGTGGTCTGGGCACGCTCCAAATGCAGCACGCCGAGAGAGAGAGAAAAGAGAGATTATAATAATATCAGATCTCGCCGAAAGGCCACTTCTATATACGGCGCGCAGACATTTGTTTTCGGGTGTGAAATGCATTGTATCGTCGTGTGCTGTATATATACATGAGATACGAGTCCACACGAGCATTAGTTTGTGTGTCTGTGTCTGTGTGTATATAAGCCACAAGAAGGCGACTGCGAATAATTGATGAGTAAGATATATCGTGGCAATTTGCATGTGTGAGCGAAGAGATTCGGAGAAGGCCGGGTGAGAGAGAGAGAGACGACGAGCGAGAAAGAGAAGAGAGCTTGATTTTTAGGTCAACGCGTTTGAGTGGATTGATATGGTATTGCATGTGTGTATGTTATATGTGTGCTATATTATGATGCAAGAGGTATACTCGGAATTTCGCGTGATTGATACTTAAGATTGTTTCCTTCAACGTTTGCGCCAGTCTCGACGATTTTAAACTCCCAATGTGGCTGTACTGTGCAGGCTGTGTGTTCGATACAGATTTCAGAGAAGCCGAGATGCGCAAAACTATCATTGTACTTATTAATGTGTACATCTGGGCTCGATCGCTAGACCGATCGTAGACGAAGGCGACGACGAGAAGCGACGAGAACGAGCTAATTTATTTTTGATTCTCGAAAATTAGCCAGAGATCGCATTTTAGCTTTTCGTATAGCTTCTTCAAAAACGAAAGTTGCACTTTTCGAGTGCCGAGTTTCGAGCTGGATTCCATGTATATAAAAGAATATAATACGCACTATACTCTCGCGACTGCGCTGAGGAGAAAGTCTCGTTTTTATTACAAACTGCACACACTCATACGATCATTCCGAATTACTTACGCGCATATAATCGACTTTTGACGTGAATTATTGGCTTCTAACGCGCTCCTGCGCCTGCCTGCCTCTCTGCGCCCGTGGAAAATAAACACATTCGCGCGCGCGCAGCAAAACTTTCTAATCGCCAACCGCTCCCCGGCCGCACTCGTCGTCCGGCCTACATATATAATATAAATGTGCAGTAATAATCGTGAGAGAATAGAATCCGCACGGCGCGCGCGCGTGGATGCGTTCGTGCTGCATTACGCGATGACCAATATCAGCTCGTTACCCTTGATTCTCGTTTAAAAGAGCTCTACTTAAATATATATCGTGTGTATTGTGTACGCGAAACGTCATTATAAATCGTCGCGAGATTCACCGTCGTAATCATCGAAATGCACACACATACACATTTGCACAGACAACGAGAGGAAATTCCGAGAATCGGAGGAAAAACACGTCGAATTATCGGGAGAGCAATTGTGCGCATGCAAACGCACGCGGCGTATATTACATATATCCCCCAGCTGCTGCTGCAGAGACGCGTGTTTGTGTGGAAAAATATAATATCATATGACGGGCTGACTGAAGCGCGCGCGCATACACGTCAAAAAATTGCCAGGCAATCGATTTATATATACTCGACGACGTCGACGACGACGACAATGTCATTGAGTACGTGTAGTAGACGCGCCGACGACGATGACTTTTTGAAGGTTAGGTCGGAGTTTGCAAGCGCAGCTTGTCAATATATGCTATGTATATGAAGGGCTTTTGTAATTTTGATACGCGAGTATATAGGGGCTGCAGTAGACGCAGCATCAGTAAGCAGTGCATGTAAGATGGCTGCGTGCACTCGTATTGTGCGACGCGTTCGATAATTCGATTGTAATAAAATATATATAATTTTGGAAAGCACCAGCTAATCGATACTAATTGATTGATTTTTCTTCGTGTTGCAGACAAATGTTTCCACAAATGAAGTTCCGCGTGTCGGGACTCGACGCCAAAGCCAAATATATCCTGCTGCTCGACATCGTCGCGGCGGACGACTTCAGATACAAATTTCACAATAGGTACGTAAAAAAAAAAATAAGCTCTCTTGTGTCTATCTGTGCTTGCTTTTCGTAGTTTTTCCTCTTACACCTCTTTATGTTTTTTGTGTATCTACACACGTCTTCTCCTCTTTCCTCTCTCACTGTAGCGATCACGAAATCGTGTTTAGCCAGAATGATGAAAACAATGTTGTTTGCGCGTCAAATTGCAGCAGGTGGATGGTCGCGGGCAAGGCCGATCCGGAGATGCCCAAGCGCATGTACATACACCCGGACTCGCCGAGCAGCGGCGAGCAGTGGATGCAAAAAGTCGTGAGCTTCCACAAACTCAAGCTGACGAACAACATCAGCGACAAGCACGGCTTTGTAAGTACTGTACGTAACGCCAAGCCAAAACTTATTATTATTATTATTACTCTTACTTGCTCCTTAAGTTCATTTATTTACTTTTACATTTACTTTGTATACAATATATAATGTAAACATACAACTGTACAAGTCTAACTGTCTCGCTTGACTCTTTTCGTTCTCTATTCCTACGTATATAAATCAATAAACGCGACGAAGATGTACAAGAGACGCGACGTATACAAAAAAAAGTGGCGTATAAGAAGAAGAGGCAAAAAAATACACAGCCGATAATCAAAGCCGTTTGCGGGTCGCGCGAAGCTCTTTCTGTCATACACCTATATACAGCTTATTATATCGCTTACACCCTTGACACTGCACCTCTATATTATGGACTATTACCCGTAGTAGTAGTAGTAGTAGTGGAGAGCGATTCTCATCCTTCAAGAGGGCGATGGCATAATAAATATATAAACACACACACAAACGTTAAACACACATCGTCGACGACGGTAGCGCATCTAAGCTTTTTTTCATCGTACGATATTTATGTATATCAACACGTTCCATCCATCCATCCATCCTATATAGTATACGTATAATCTGTCGCGCTATACATTGGGATTAAACTCTCGAGAGCGCGCCCTCTGCTCTGTCAAGTAGCGTTTCTGTACAAACACACGAGCATGTGTGTGCGTCTATATTAGTCTAGCCATCATCATCGTCTCTCTCTCTTACGAAGGTGCGCTTTTATTAAATCCTTTTTTCCCTCCAGCTCTCTTTCTCTCTGCGGCAGCTTCTGAAGCAAGAGAGAAAGAGAGAGAGAGAGATACATACTTAGTCGTGTCAATGGTCGCGCGCGTTACGTTTGCTTTTGTCATTTGCCGCTGATGCGCGCGTGTATGTGCGTGTGCAGTTTGCTGCGCTCCTTTATTCCTTCGGTATTCTTTTCTTTCGGGAACTTCTTCTTCTTTTTTTTCGCTCTCTCTCTCTCTCGTTCACTTTCGGAGTGCAGGTATACGTTAAACAGGGTTTTCGCTTCTTTAAACGTAGTACATAAGCGTATATAGCTCCCGCATCGAGCGAGCGTCTGCCTCGCACAACCTACGTACACACAAACGTACATGTGTATAAACAGCGTGTCCAAGAATAACACAGCAGCAGCATGGTAAAGAGTAGCGCGCGCACCACTTTGAAAAGGACTCAAAAATTGCTCATCCGCGATGATTGTTTTCTTTGTGCCTGGGTCACGTTAATCCGTATAATATTCCACTCGCTCTTGTCGTAGTCGTCGTTGCGGCCCTCTGCTCTGTTGGAGTGTCTGTGTCTGTGTGTCTGTGCGACTGTGTAGCTGCTTTTTTGCAGTCGTCCGTATAACGTACTTAAATGTATAATATACCTGAAGACCGAAGCCGACTGCGAGTGTGTGACAATTAGCGACGACCTCCCGATCTCCAAGAGCAGCAGCAAGCTCGATTCGGGCTTGGCGCAAGCTCTGTGTACAAGTTCAACGATCGGAAATCGAGTTCCTGCCCCTCCTACCCCTCAGTAACGATGCGATGTAACTCGTGTTCATTGTTTCACGTACACACATCTTTGACCAGGCCCCCGCACCAAAGGGCCGCGCGCGCCGCGCAAAGGACGCAGAAGCAGAAATAAAGAAGCTCGAAATATAAAGTATACCAATACCCAAAGTAAACAAGTTGTCGCAAGAAGGAGAATTTTTTGTCGCAAAGGACGAGAAGGGCGGGGGTAGTTCAAGCGGTGGCCCACGCACGCACACGTCTACAACAACAGCTACTACAGCCCGAGCGAGTTAAGGTTTTCACCTGGCGACAAGCCTCTTATATGTCGTGGCATGTGCGCGCGCGAGCCTATACATATATCCAAGTACTGTACATAGGAAAGGGTAACGACATTACCGCTGCATATAGGCAAAAGAAGCAAAGCGAAGCAAAAAAAAAAAAGAGCCAACAACGCACGCGGCGGTACAGTGGCGACGACGCTGCGAGACCGGCTTCTTTCAAAAGCTGCTGCGCGTCACTGTGTGTATGCACGTCGGGCACAGAGACACACACACATATACACGAGCGTTCATGACGCACACAATATTCGCGCGCGCGCTGCATGGGGTGAATGAATGAGCTGTGTATGCAGCAGCGTACGTACGTGCGCGTTTGTGATACGCATGGCCGTGCCGCCGCCGCCACTGCCGATGGCTCCGAGAGTAGAGTAAAAAAACAATTTCATAGACGAGAAAATGAAAAAAAGGGAATGTTTAAATTGAGTTAATATACGCCAGGATCCGTGTCGAAGGATTTATAGAAGTGCCCCGAAGTGCACTGGAAACAGTGACACTTGCATCTTTCGCGCGTAGAGAGAGATACCAACGCGCTTGACCATAATGGCGTCGAACTTTTACGATCCTCGGGCTCGTTATTCGCTGCCGAAAAGCTCCGAAATTCATTACACATAGTAGCGGAACGGGCAGCCGCGAGAGAAAAGTATATCCGCGTTATAAGTACCATGGCGTACGATCGGCACCCATCGGTTCGGAGTCGTATGTATGTATTATATGTGTGTGTGTAAATGTGGCAGCTGCTACGCAACAACACGTACCGAATCGGGGGGGATGCGCGTCCTCATTATTACGATATATAACATAATACCGGCAGCGCCGCGACTCTCGAGTGAATCACGCCCCTATTTGGCCCCGCGCCTAATATACCGCTTAAAGTTTGAGGTAAGCCGGGATGATGATCAACGATCATTCGATTTTGACTCTCTCTTCCTATACTCGTCTCATCCTCGACATTTCGTGTTGATACACTCGAGGGTTTTTAGATTTAAGCCATATATATATCCGCACTCGAAATGAGAATATAATTATTATTGCGTATAGAACGAGCAGCACGTGTGTGTGTGCGTGTGCGTGTGTGTATTCGTATCATTGCCGAGCCGAGAACGTGTTAAGTGCGTGCTTAGCCATCGTGACGAGATCTCTATACTGTATATTTTTTTTCTTCCTCGTTTCAACTGCTGCTGCTTCTCCTTTCAAACCTCCGTAGTATTATACACAACGCACACACACACTCTCGGTTTTTTTTTCGCTTAATCTGATCGAGAACTACTACTACTACTACCTCGTCGACTTCTTCTTCTTTTGAGTGTCAGGTTAATTAGCAGATAATTTTGCACATTTTTACCTTCCCAACTACTGTATTATATTATGAAAGCCACCTTTTTCGATAAGCCATTATTATGTGCTAGAGCCTGCCTCTTCTCCTGTTTTTTTTTACATTTTGCACGCGCTCATAATTTATTCATCGCGCGTCGCGCAGTCGACGAGCTGCTGCTGCGGCTGTGATGTGGTGGCGTTTGTTTGTGTACATAAAGTAATTCACACCGCAGCAGATACTGCCGGTGCACTCGCGCAACACACACAAACGCAATAGACAGACACACGCGTTTATGTTTATATATACACATACAAGGAGATATCTATATATCGTGTGTATGGCACACACAAGTCATAAAAGAAGGTATAAAAGCCGAGTAATGAAAATAATCTTTTATATACGGGTGCGCTATAAAGACAATAAAAAGAGGCACACGTTTTTAGCGCGCGACATTCTATTCAAAACGCGCGAGTGCAGCAGTTTTATATGCGCGTTACATCTATACACACACACATACTCATGGGCAAAGCTGATGGCAATATTTCCGTAATATAACGACGCCGATGGAGATGTATAATTTTTACTTCGTTAGCATTACCACAACGAACATCGCGTGAGCAGCGCGTAAAGTCGAACGTGTATGTGTGCTTGTGCAAGTACGAAATCTCGTCGCGTGTCTACCACCCGACTTTGTTTTACGTAATCAGTATAAGACGTCGCATTTATTGTGTACCTACACGCGGGCACGCGTGTGTGTCCGTCTCCGCGGAGCGAGAGGAGTGTTGCCGTGTTGATTTTTCAAAAAGTTTTTCTCGTTACGATATACGCGACAAAAAAAAAACGAGAAGAAGTTGGGGAAAATTTCGACGATCGTTATGGCTAACCATAAATTACTATGTGTGATTAAATCAGGTGCTGCCCTTATAGTTTTTTTTTTTTACCTTTCCCCGAAGTCGCGAGAAAAAAAATCCACATTATTCGTGGACGCGTATTATAACGCGAGCACATTGAACAAAAATATAAACGCAACAACGAACGCGGAAAGAAACTCACGTGCCGACTGATCGTTCATCATTTCATTTGCTGCCAAGCTCGCGCGAAGTGGGCAAAAAGTGCATAATTGCTCGTGCGCGCGAGAAAGTTGCGCAAAATTTTCAATCTCCCTTTTAATTATTTGCTCGCGCAAACAATTCGGTAGCATTAAACGCTAAAACGCACTCGTTCTCACTTCGCAATAACAACAACAGCTGCGGCAAAAGTCTCGAAGAACTCTTTTGTGTGTGTTTATCTCGCGGCTTCGGCGCGAAGTGGCCGAAAAAGATAACGCATCCGCGTTACAGACGCTTCGCGATTTTTAATATTATTATAAATTCCTCGGCTCGCGCGCATTATAACGCAATGCATGCACAGTAGCGGCAGCAGCTGTAAGTGATTTGCGCCGCGGAATTTCCATTGGAGAATTTATCGCCTGTTGTTTCCGGTCTGATGCATTGGGTAAAACTCCAACTTTTGCCACGCCGTTCATGAGCGCGCACAAACAACGCGCGGCGTGGAAGAGATTCGATAATCATCTCGGGTGGTAGGCGTTTTATATAGTTCTATCAGGAATTTTTCCTATGACTGCACCACCACTGCTGCGTTAAATGCTGCTCTCCTTATTTGCGCTTCGTACCACGCGCGGTTCACGGTGCATTGATCCAATTTCTCTCTCACTCTGTCTCTCTCGTCGAACGCAAGAGTATGGAAAAATATTTGAGCGCAAATATCATTGACCCCGTCGTAGCGGCGCGCGCAACGAGCGAGGGATTGATTATAATATGTGTTTGTCGCTTAATAAAT